AGAGCCTAGGCGGATTGTGTTTTTTCCAGGTGACCCTGATGTACTGCCAGGTTTGAGGTTTCATCCAATTGAGAAAACTTTCTGCAAATGGACAGTCATCTTTTGCTCAAGTAACTCCGAGATGGAAGAGCTCTTTACCATTAAGTCAGCCTCTCATTACTAAGCTACACTTAGTCCTAGGAAATCCTTTCTTGTATTCAGACAAAATATGCCTCCTTGGACCTTCGGCCTTTTGTCTCATTTTGTCCTCTGGTATAAATAAGAAGACATCTACCTTCCTTTCCCTATAACCAGCTTGAAGATTCCCAAGCAGAGCCATCATCGTATTTTCTGACGTTTTCTCCCTCCTAAGCCAATCTCTTTTTATTTTTTTTAATGGGATGCATTCTCTCATTTTAACATTTTAAACAAAATTCAGAGTTGGTTATGGTGTTCTGGATGTATTCTGACCCTTGGAGTTTGAAGAGACAATCGTTATCCATGTTCTGTATGCTCTCTTTCTTATCAGGCAGTCTAGGACAGAGACTTTTGACTTTGGCTGCACATTGAAACCACTCAAGTAGCCTTGGAAAATACTGATGCTCAGGTTCTACCCCTCAGAGATTCTAACTGGGCTCAGATGCTGCCTGGTTACCAGCATGAGATGGTTTGTAATGAGCAGCCAATGTTGAGTGCCACAGTGTAAAGGAACATTGATTTCCTAGTGGCCGTGTTATTTTGTTGGCTCGATCTAGACTCATTCACACTCAGCCTTTTTCCCCTTGAGTTCCTGCCAAGACAGGCATTCTTGGAGGAAGTGATAAGTTGAATTAAACTGCAGACATTTATGTTCATTTCTGATAAGTGTCGTCTATTTGGTTTGGGTCCATTCTTCCAAGGTTACTGAAGGTCATGTCAACTAAGCTGCTTATTGATGACTATCTGCTATTTCTCTAGCTTTGAGTCTCTTACATGCTTCTGGTCTCTTCATCTAAAACACAGGTAAATTCATGGGTCATTCTCTGGATGATATTTTAGTGAAAACCCTTTGGGACTCAAATGGCATCAGCTGCTTTTTAAGCAACTAGATATTCTTTTGCAGAGAAGGAAGGGCCAGATGCTAATAATTTATGGTCACAGGTAAATTCATGAGTTTGGCATCTATTCCTAAAATGAAATGCTTCAGACAACTCTCCAAAGCTTCCTTAGTGGTGTTCTCCAATGCTGGAGCCAGGTGAAGCCACCATGATGGGCTGCCAAAACACTCAAGACATTGGACACCTCACATCTTTTTATGTACATGCGTACATATACATGTATATATGTATATGTATGTATGTAAATATACACATATATACTAAACCAGACATAACTTACTGCCATTGAGTTGATTCCAACTCACAGTGACCCCCATTGGGTTTCCAAGGCTGTAAATCTTATGGAAGTAGATTGCCCCATCTTCCTCCCACAGAGCAGCTGGTGAATTTTAACTGCTGACCTGGTTAGCAGCCTTACCCACTACACCACCTGGGTTCCTTATATATATATGTATATATACATATACACTTTTGTGATTTGGATGAAATTTAACAGAGCAAATTGGTTTTCTATTCCACAATCCATACACATTCTGTTTTGTGACACTGACTGAAATCCCCACACTGTAACAGCATTCTTCTAACTTCCTCCCTAGGCCCACCCCTTCCCTTCATTCCTTCTTCCCATCCCCTCTTAGCTTCCTAGCTCTATCCATGGGAAAATGCTATCCTCTTGATCTCATATGCTTGATTGTTCTAATGAGTACATCCCCTCTTGATATTACTGCTCACCTTATAGGCATGTTTATTGTTTGGCTGCAGTTGAGTCACGGGGTTTTAAGTTCAGTTCCTAAGTTGAAGGGTACTTAAGGGTCATAGTCTCAGGGGTTTCACCAGTCTTCATCTGACCAGTAAGTAAGCCTGGTCTATATTTTATGATTTTGAGTTTTGCAGCATACTTTTCCCCAATCTATCCAAGACTTCTTATTATGATCTCTTTCACGATGGTTAGCAGTGGCAGCTGGGTACCATCCTGTTTTGATCTCAGGGCTATGGAGGCTGCGGTTCATGTGTTCCATTAGTCCTTTGGACGGTTTTCTGCATCTTTTTCTTCACTCTTCTTTGCTCCAGACAGGGACAGACCAATAGTTGCACCTTAGATGGCCACTCAAGCTTTTATACCCCCGTCACTAATCAATCATTAAAGTAGGATGTAGAACACTGTCTTTAATGGACTATGTTATGCCAGTTGACCTTAGTGTTCCTTAAGACTATGGTCCTGAGCCTCTATATCCAGAAACTCATTCCCTTAAGGTGTTTGGTTATGACTAAAACATTTCCATAACTGTCCCCTGTATGTTTTACTATATTCATGGATATATTTACAGCACATAGTACATAGGTAGAAATAAAAAAAAAAAAACACAAAGCTCACTGCCATTGAGTTGATTCTGACTCAGAGTGACCTCCATTGCGTTCTCTAGGCTATAAATCTTTACAAAAGCAGACTGCCTCATCTTTCTTCCATGGAGCAGCTGGTGAGTTTGAACCATTGACCTTTTGATTAGCAGTCAAATGCCTTACCACTATACTACCACAGTTCCTTTTTAAGGTAGAGATAGCCTGTATAGATACCTCACATCTTTATCTGCAAACTGATGACATTTCTATATGCGACCTCCCCAACATTAAGTCAACTGACATGAGGACTGAGACTGCTACAGTGACACCGGCTCTGATTCTACGGGAATATTTGTTTAGGACTGTATTAATACACATGTGTGACGTGCCACAAAATACACTGTTAAATGATTTCTTACAAGTTGAAAGAAAGTCTTTGATTTCATTATGAAAGCATCATTAAACTTTGTAAGAATGATGAGGCAATATGGTAGACTATAGCTGAAAGCTTTCAGGTAAAGTTTGGGAAGTTAAAATAAAGGTTAAGTTAGATTTATACTATATGCATATACATATATTTAATTTTGAAAAATAGTATTTCTCTTACACTAAAAATACCAACCTGCTTGACTTGTTGTTGTTGTTATGTGCTCTCGAGTCATCTCTGACTCATAGCGACCCCTCCTTGGGTTTCTGAGGCAGTATCACTATTTTTCCTATTTGCAGTTAAGACTGCTTTAGTACTTGTTATTTCTTAGTCTTGGCTGTACTATCTTCCGTGGTACCTCACAGTAAAGCCTACCACTTCCTCCTTTCACGGGAAAGAGAATTTCACTGAGCTCTCCTCTATGAATAAAACACTGTGCCCAGCTGGACCCCACTGGAGGGATCAGAGAGCTTACACTGGCTTCCAACTCAGAGGCCCATTCCACCATTTCTACTTGTTCAGTTAGTGACATCTATTACTTTTTTCAAGATGTGCAACCATTCTCATCTTCCCTTTCAAAGCTGTTCTTCCCCCATTAACATAAACTCACTGCCAAAGAAATCTTTAGAATATTGTTGTCACTTTGATCTCATATAGGTAGTTCTTCAAAATGTGCAAGATGGACATTTTTTACCCATTAAGCTAGACTATTTGGTTTTAAGAGAACTTCAGGGGATATTTTTGGTTTATGGCTTAAAGATTATCTCAGGGCAATAGTTTCAAGGGTTCATCTAGTCTCCGTGGCTCCAAAAAGAAAAGAAAAGAAAGCTGCTGAGGCTACTGGGATTTGGTTCCTTACTTTGGAAGGTCAGGGTCATGGCTCCATGGGACATTCCACTTACTTGGCCTAATAATGTATTCAGTGCTTCTGTTCTATCTCCTAGTTCACTGCATAGTGCCTGGGGTCTAAAAAACTTATAAGCCAACATCCAACGCAGGACAATTGATCTCTATTCACCAAGAGCAACAGAGGAAGAAGGAGGGTCAGGAATAGGAAGGGGATATGGAACGTGTAGTTAACTGCCTCCATGAACAACTGCCTCCTTGTTCATGAGACCAGAAGAACTGGATAGTGTCCAGCTACAACCGCTGAACATTTTAATCAAAGATTCTACAAAAGAATCCTGATCAAAAGAGGGAAAATGCAGAACAGAATTTCAAATTCTCATGGATCCAAACTTTCTGGGGCCATGTAGGCTGGTATTTTTTAAAGTGCATGTTTAGTAGACTATCAGCTCTCCACGTATCAATGTATAATTGTCTTTTAAAGCCCCTTAAGAATTTTCTTTACAAAGTTCTGTTTCTAAGTAAGGGTGCATAGATTATACATTCCACAGTGAGCAAAATTTTCCATCACTTTGTACCTCCCTTCCAGATTTATATTTAATTTTAATATTAATTTGGTATTTAATGGATATAGCTAATGTTAGTTTTAATCAATCTGCTACTGAGGGGCATTTAGATCATTTCCATTCTTTTTAATTCTACAGTGGATATCTTTGTTCACATATCATTTCACATGTTAAAATATATTCTTAAGATAAATTCACAGGATTGATATTCAAAGTCAAAATGTGTGTGGGTCAAAACCCATGTGTTTTATGTATGGCTTTGGATGTTTCAAAGCACTTTTTAAAAATGGTGAAATATAGGAAACTGAATAAATATATATTACTTAATAAATGAATATAAAGCAAACATCAGGGAGATCACTACCTAGGTCAAGAAATAAAGTATCACCAACATCCCTTAAAGCCCCTCATATGCCCCTCACCTTTATAACCTCCATCTTTCCTCCAGCAGTAACTGCTAACTTTTTTTTTTGGTGATAATTATTTAAGTATCATAGTTATCTAATTCTGATAAAAATAATTCACTTGGAAGAACTGTAAACCACAAAATAAAGAAAGAAAAGAACTGGAGATGAGCTCTAAATATATGTTGAATTTAACTGAAAATCATTTTAAGGTTGGCTTATCTAAAACCAATTTCTTGCCTTTTATCTTTATCATAACTGCTACTTATCAGGAACAACATAAAAATAACATGAGACAGAGAGACAGGGAAAGAGAGAGAAATACAATTGTTGTACTTACCACAGGGCAAGTCGTTGCTCAATTTCCTTGAGAAAACTAGTATGAAATTTGTGCAAAGGTTCAAAATTCGGGAATATCAGACTTTTCAATGTTTCGGGCATAGAGTCCTCTTTGCTCACCGTGCTCTGAAACCACTGCAAATGAAAGTGGACACACTTAGAGGCATAAAGGTGAATATGGTGAATGGCTCCAACTCTTCATAAGTAAAGCTGCAACCAAGTGCGCTTGGAGGTCAAATGACTTTCTTAACAAAAACCAAACCAAAAACACTGGCAAGGAGTCAGATTTGACTCATAGAGACCCCTCCTTGGGTTTCCAAGGCGGTATCACTATGGAAGTTGATTGCCCAACTGTCCTTCCTGCTGGGATTTTAATTGCTGGGAAAGCAGTGCCACTTCCCTTCTCCACATGGACACACACAAGCATTTCAGGAGCACATGGGTTTTCCAGATCTTTCTTTCATTAGATGAGGGCAAGAAGCTTTCTTGTTTCTGAAATTTGTTACTAATCAATTGTTCAGGAGCTCTGGTAATACAGTGCTTAACACACTTGACTGCCAACCAGAAGGCTGGTGGTTCAAACCCACTAGCCACTCCTTACAATGAAGGCTAGGCAATCTACTTCTGTAGTGATACCACCTCAGAAACCCAAGGAGGGGTCGCTATAAGTCTGAGCCGACTTGATGGCATACAACAACAACAACAAATCAATTGTTTAAGGCAGGACATATCTATTTTTTTATTTTTGGTAAAAAATATATACAATAAAGCAAACAGCCATTCAACAATTTTCACATGTACAGTTCACTGACAATATCTACATCACATTGTATGAAGAACCATTCTCTCCCTCTGCTCATATTCTTCTACTACCATTAACTTAGGCTCTTTGCGCCTGAAAGTATTCATCTGTGTTGCAGAGTTATCATTATCCGCTTGACCTCATACAGATAATTCTTTAAAAGAGCCTAATGTTCAAGGTCTGGGTTTGGTAATGCTCAAGGTGAGCATTCTTTATTAAATGAACTAAATTGTTTAAAGATGACTTTACAGGATAGTTTTAGTTCAAGGTTTAAAGGCTGTTTCTAGGCAACAGACTGGGGGGGTTCCTTTGTTGTGTTGTTATATGCCGTCGAGTTGGACCCGACTCATAGTGACCCCTCCTTGGGTTTCCGAGGCACTATCACTGCAGAAGTAGATTGCCCCATCTTCCTTCCAAGGAGTGGCTGGTGGGTTTGAACCATCAGTCTTCTGGTTAGCAGTCAAGTGCCTTA